TATTTAGTCTAATCTTATTCGTTTTCTTAAACAAATACATGTAAAATTAGTTTTAATATCCTTGTAAACCTAACATATTTCAGCAGTGGAATTAGTTATATTCTGGAGCTGTAAGTTTTAGTGTCAAATAAACTATCAACTATCAAACTAAACTATTAACGGACACCTCTCTTAAGCGGACACATACCTCGGGTCCCAATGATTTCTTTAATAAAATACTATTATCTTCAGCCCTATTCAGTGGACATCTCTATTACATGTAAGCGGAAGCAGACACTTGACTCGAGGTCCCAATGAGCGAATAAACCGGACAAACCTAACTGAATGTAATTTTAACAAAAATCAATTTGAAGAAAATTCACTAAACGCGCGTATTTGTTTGCAGTATTTCTATGTAGTATAAACGCTAATAACTTGTTTGAGCTAATCGCTAAAAACTTTTTCCCCTTGAATTTGTCTTTCGAGCAATAGACCTTATGCATAATGACGTCACAAGGCTTGATGCCCGCGAGGAATGCTGGTCTTAGTAGTCATCACCCAGGAAAATTAAACAATTCAAAATGGCCACTATCGAAATTTTCCCGGGCAGTGACTACTAAGACCAGCATTCCTCGCGGGCATCAAGCCTTGTGACGTCATTATGCATAAGGTCTATTGCAAGTCTCCTCTTACAACTGTTCCTAAATTAGTTGGTCGTTACTTCCTGCTGTGTTCGCTGTTGCAAACTCCTAGCCTTATTGGCTGCTGTGTTAATCTTATTAAACAATCTATCTATCTTAAGCGGACACCCCTTTTAAGCGGACGCATTAGTGAGGTCCCCAAGGCCAAGATGTCTGCTTAATACGGGTTCCACTGTAGTAAATATGCAAGCTTTCAATTAATCGCGTAAATAAATGTAAAAGTATCAGAAGTGACGCCCGTGAGGACGTGACGCCAAACTCCCTAGCTATATACTAGCTATAATGTATTACCGTTGCAGTAAAAAATACGTGTAGTTTAACAATAACATGTTCTTTCGTTCTTATGACATGCGATGAAAACTGAAGATCAACTGCCACCATGTCCATGCATTATTCTTGAAACGTACTCATGACGATATATTCGATTGTACAACCAACTTTTTATATCCCCATGTCGGACTTGTAGATTTTTTGGGATGATTAAATGCAAGTTCACAAGAGAGTGAGCGGTTTTTTGTCACAAAACATATTTATCTAATAGCCTATTTATTTTTCATGCCGGGCAGCAAACCAACCTCGCAACAACAAAAATGTAAAAGAGGGGTATCAGGTTTGTTTCCATTAAGTGTGCTCTTTTATGTTCAATAAAATTGAAGATAACTTGACCAGCTTGCATCAGTTGTGGCAGATTCAAAAGGTTGGCAGTACATGTACCTGGTGTCAGTAGGTTAGCAGTACATACCCTGTCCCTGTTTTTTCATTACTAACACTAACACTAACACTAACACTAACACTAACAGCAATTAAAATCATTCTGACTGGCCGAGAAGAGATGCCTTTTGAAAGATTTCTGGTAGTATACTGACTACTGTATATTCGTTTGCAGTTTATGTAGTGGCAGTGAAAAGTTCATTCCTCTCTGGCATCCTTGCCAGGCATTGTAAAGAAAACTAGTTTCATGTTATTCTGACACTGCTGAGTTGCAGAGTACAATGAAAAATGCGTTGTCTCGAACAGGATTAGAACTTGCACCTTCGGGTTTTTAGACAGCTGCTCTATCAACTGAGCTATCGAGTCATAATTTTTCATATCTCTGAGGATGGTTCTGAAATTGCAAAAACTAGAAAATATAGCATGTACTTCTGATTCATTATGTACTAAAATGATATAATAACTTCTGGATGGTTCAGTTTAGTGGTTTAGCAGCTGATATGTTGTTGAAACAGTAATTAAAGAACCATCAACACTGGCTATTGATCATTAAGACCAGAAGTTCTTCTTTGTTTTCTCTTGCAATCCAAAGATTCCTTCACTTTGGATTCAAAGGATGCGGTTGGAATATGCCTTTGTGTTAATGCACGAGTGGCATCAATAGCACAGCCAGCATAAGCCGCCAGGATTGGGAAGGCTCCAAAACTATCTGCTTCTTAAAATGTCACTTACCCTGGCAGTCTCTAAAACTCTTAATCTCCTGGAATTTTACACCTGACAACTAGAGCAGATGGGAATTCAAGGATCTTTTATAAACCTTTGTGGGTATTTTTTCCATCCCATGCTACTAACTTCCTGATGAAGGGGCCTTCACTTAAATTATTTAAGTTCTGCTTGTATATTTTAGGCATACTAGTTGAATCTCCTACATAATGCTGCTGTTTGGTATGATCGCTATCTACTACACAGACACCAACCATACAAGAGTTTATATAATCCCTCTCCCAACAATTTCTAAGATTTGGATAAATACAAATTTTTGAGATTCGATCACCTGCACTAAAAATTAATATCTTTATTTTGTGTGTGTTGGTGTTGTGTACTCAGGTGAATAAATTATATGATGTTTGTGATCATGTTACTCTGAGTGTACATCCACATCGGGCAAGCTGAAAAGTTAGCTTGGCCACGGTAGGAATCGAACCCTCGACCTTTGGGATACTAGTCCAATGCTCTGCCAACTGAGCTATGTGGTTAAGTCGGTTCGAGTTGATAATATTTCGGAACTTGCCCGGTGTGGATGCACACTCAGAGTAACATCATATTCACCTGAGTACACAACACCAACACTCACAAAATAATCATATCATAGAATACACTGATATCGAAGAAATTAGACTCCGTTCCGAAATATCATCAATTCGAACCGACTTGACCACGTAGCTCAATTGGCAGGGCATGGGACTAGTATCCCAAAGGTTGCGGGTTCGATTCCCACCGTGGCCAAGTTAACTTTTCAGCTTGCCCGGTGTGGATGCACACTCAGAGTAACATCACAAACATTAATTAATATCTTGCTACTGACTGACATTCAAGTTCCCTGTGACCCAAAGAACCAATTCCTATTTGATTTACGCTTAACAAGGGTCTTAATGGGGGTCTTTGGGTGTCAGTTGTCAGCTAAAATTTAAGCCAGTTGTCAGTGTGATATATTGATATATTGCAAGCTGTGAGTAGTCAGTTACTATAAAATGCTGACTCATCATTTTTCATCATTTCTCAGTTGTCAGTTTACCCTGGTTCCAGAGGCTCTTTGCGAGGCAAAATAAACGAGAGGTGAAAACGGAGAGCCTCTGGTCACATTGGGTGCAAATCCCACTTCCACACTTGATTAGGTTCAGAATTTGAATCTCAAATGTGATTGGCCATTTGTAAAAATATGTCAAACTGGTTTGTAGGACTGTTCTGTATACCGATATACCGAAAATATCGGCATTAAATCAATATTGGTATATCGATACCGGATATTCAACCATACCGATATACCGAAATTTCGGATATACCGGAATTTTTCGGTATACCGTCTTAAATTTACCAACTATATGGCGAAACCATATATAACCTTAGTTTATTTTACTACTGAATGGCAATTCAAAGAACTTTCTACTGCAATGATTTAGAATTTCTACTTCAGTGAGATTTTACACTGAGTACGTGCATGTCGTTCGAAACATGTTCGAAACAGCTTTGAAATTATCGTTTTCCCTTTTAGAATTACTCAAAATTGCTTTCAAACTTCCATTAAAGAATTTTCCTTTATAATTATCAAAGGAATTTAACCGGTATACCGATAATATCGGTATAATTTTTTCGGTATACCGATACCAGAAATTTCTCATACCGAACGTTCCTACTGGTTTGGGAAATAAACATTACTGTAAGCTATTAAATTATAATGTTTATTTCCCAAACCGGTTTGACATATTTTTACAAATGGCCAATCAATCACATTCAAGATTCAAATTCTGAACCTAATCAAGTGTGGAAGTGGGATTTGCAACCGATGTGATCAGAGGCTCTTCCTTCTCGCCTCTCGTTTATTTCACCTTGCAAAGAGCCTCTGGAACCAGGGTGTTGTCAGTAAGGATATTTTGTCAGTTGTCAGTCAAAAATTAAGGCAAATGTGAGTAGTCAATTTACACCATTCAGACCCTCCTTAACCAATATATATATATAATAGTCCCCATTTGTAATATTCCTCCACTCACACTGGAGAGCCAGCCACCCAGGGGCTGCATTAGACCTCTTTAAATGGGGGGGGTGAATGAATTCTGCCGAGTCACTACAACCACTAATTAATATTTCTTTTCCCAAAATTGTCGGCGGGGAGGGGGGGTGAAAAACTTTTTGTTTAGGACAACATATTTCTCCATCTTATTTTGTGTTTAACCACTGTTGTTCATTCCATTTTTCCCTAATTTTTTCGTACATTTCTCCAAATTTTAGCTATAATTCTTAATTTTTAGTTGGTGTCACTCAACTATTTTATTTTTTCCTTCCCATCCAAATCCATGTTTTGCCAACTGGGATTCAATACTTTGCAGACTACCTGATGACTGGGAGGGTGTTCCACCCCCACACCCTCCTCTAGCCACTCCTGCAGCCACCCCTGCTTCACCCTATCCTGCTCATGTATGGGTCAGTGGCATTTCAACTTTCAATTTACTTTTTGAGTAACAGGGCCTTACAGGGGTTTGACTACCTCACTGGTGTTCGTTACGGGTGATGTCAATAAACTTGACATCTAGTATCGTAATCTCTCAATAACACCCTACATTTTACCCTAACCCCCACTGTTGTAAACACCTATGAGATAGTCAAACTGGAGGAACAGAGCACCAGGGGTCCACCTCAACACAGAGGGGTGTACACCAGAATGGCCACATGAAATTAAACTAATTTTGATAGAATTTACTTTATATATTAATAATAAAACACAAGAAAATGCAAATGTCTTTCCTCTTTAAAGCAAATATTATAAAATGTAAGAAAATGTATCGAATTAAATACAATTCACCTTTCGCTTGTATTTAGCAAGGCTGACATCTTTCCCGCTTATATCTTTCAACACAAATTTATACAATGGCGAGTCGTCTCCTGTACATAGCTGCAATATAGCGCAAAAAAGAACAAAAACCAGCGTATAAATATTCCTATTGTTTGACGACATGCTTTCTTGATTTTTATCAAAGGCTCATTCAAAAGCTCCCTACCTCCTCCGGGGATACAACCCCGGTAGTGCAATCAAATTGAATTTTAAATGTTTAACAAGTAACTAACGGCATTTACTGAAGCATTCTTTGGTTTAAAATACTGGCAAGTTTTATATACTATTCTTTACTATTCGTAGAAAGTTACTGAGATAATAGTAATACACAAATGAGAACAACAATCGCAGTTTTTTAAGAAGGGCCTTTTTACCGCCCGGTGTTTCAACGTGCGACTGCTGTTGATTAGCAACAACCAATAGTATCGCTTTATTTTTTAAATCGACCAATCATCATTTAGCGAACTGATATTCTTTGTTTCGAGCGTCGCAGCGCATTGTTTAAACTTTAAAGTTCCAGAGGAGTGATACTGAAATATTGTGAATTTTGTGCTATATTTTAAGAGTTTCTCTTTGGTATAAGGGCTTCTATACTAAAGATTATTAAGTAAATATTGTGTCTAAATGTCGATAATGTCCCATTTCAACTTTGAAGTGGAGATAAATGATATAATTCGCTTGGACGGTGCAATCAAGAATGGACCACAACCAAGATGGCAACGCAAAGCTGAAGAAGAAATTGCTCTTTCAGCAAAGACTTCAACACCAAATAAACTTGTAAGCCGAAGTACGAATAAAACTCCTTCTAGGTCGCCCAACAAGAAAACACCAGGCAAACAGAAAACGCCAAAAACACCATCGGGAGATCGTTTTATACCAAACAGAAGTTCAATGAACATGGACACGTCTTATTTCAAAGTCATGAGCAAAGAGGAAACAGAACACGAAAATGAAGGCAGTCCATCAAAAGCTGAGTTTAGGAAATCCATGTCTGAGACTTTGTGTGCAAATGAACTGAATGCCAAGATATTGACGTATACAAATAAAGCTCCAGCACCAAGAGAAGGCAAGTATTTCTCATGTTGTTTTATTTTTTATTATGTCTCATAGCTTGTTTTAAAATATGAAGGCGTATGTGCCGCGGAGTATGAGATCAGCGTGAGAATGAGAGGGTGCAAAGAATGGTCAGCACTTGTTTACATCTACCAAACTGACATGATGTCATTTTCGGAAGATGAAATGTAACTAATAGAGGTGTGCATCAGATTGGATTGGACGTTTATAATCCAACAATTGGCTAATGTTTAAAATCCAATCCGAAATTGTCTAATCTGAATCGGATCGGATTTGCACACCTCTAGTAACTAACCCTGCCCCTATTCTAACCATAACCAAAAATAAAATAAATCCAAAAAGATCGAATCCATCAACTTTAGAAATTGATCCAATAGTCTAGGACCTGTATATGAGTTTGTATGCATTTCATTTAGGACAGATAATCTCAACTGTTTTAGGGCAAGTTGACCATGACGGTCAACATGGTAACGCTGCCCGAACCCCAATCCGGGACGAAATGTCCAAAACTGACCACACCCAAAAACGACGCTTTCGCCATTAATAGTGCTATCTACCAAACCGTAAAAGCTTTGGCTATTCTGAGGTGCTTATATGGTTTAGAGATGGTGCTTTTAGGGGTGGTCCTTGGTAAGTGTGAAATGCCCAGCACTGATATTTCACAAGAAAATGACCATGCAATACTCATAGTCAAATGTCAATTTGTGGCTTACAACTTCAAATAAACAGCAGTGGATCTACATTACCTTCTTTCCTAAATATTTTTGATAGAAACATAATTGGTACTTATTTAATTATATTATCACTGTTTTGGTGTAAAATAGTTAATATTTTGTGACCGAAATAATAGTGATGGCCGATACCAGGATTTTTAATTCGATACCGATACTTTTAAGCTCGGTATCGGTTGATACCGATCCCATATTTCGATACCAAAATAAACACAAAATTTCAATTTTTGATACCGGAAGTGAGTACTTAAATTGCTAGTATCGGCTACTTTCGACACCTGCTGTTCAGCGGAAAAACATTTTACATTACTGTATGTAACCTAAATAAAGGTATAAGTAAACCAAAAGCCCGAAACGTAATAAATATATTCTATACATGTCTTGGCGCACCACATTTGGAATATTAAGAGTTATTTTAGTGGTTCATTCAGTCTTATTCAACCAAGAAGTAAAATTAAACAAGTCGTTTAAAAAAGGGTGCAAGTATCGAACGATACCACGTCAGTGATTGATACTGATACTGCTGTTTGTGATAACACTGGTATCGAATACCGAGTACTCTGTATCACCCATCACTACAAAATAATAATTTGAAATGTACATACCTCCTGCAAACGGACGTATTTGGCCAAATTCTCCACCTTACTCCGCTGTTTATGGCCGATCTCGTTGAAATCCTTCCAAGTATGCAATTCAGCTCAAACATAATAGTATCAAGCCTCTCTGTTTAACTATCGACAAGGTTAAATTAACCTCAACTTTGTCCAAATTCGGTGCCATTTTGTCATCCTGTGTTGGTTGTAAACAATTCGGCCTTGTTATTCTTCCATCCAAGCCATTTCCATCAAAGCCATTTCCATCAACTAATGACAAATTTAACCCTTTGTTAAGGGTATTAATTAAAAATAAAAATACAAATGAGATATGCGAAATGCAGCATTTTATCACCCTGTAAGATGTTGCTTACGAGTCTTTCAAACCACCTACAGTACAGCATTTAGTTGGTTCACATGCATGTTTTGATGGCAACAGTGAGATTACATCTGGCTATAGTAGAAACATTTTCATGGCAGAGCCAAAATCTTGGCAAGATAAATATTTTTCACATAAAACTCTTTGGCCAAGAAATTGTATTTGCAACGAGAAAGAAAGAAAAAGCAGATCTGTTGATTAGAATAGAAGTATTTGACTCCCAATAAAGCTGTGTTGTAGAGACGCAGTTCTGTACAGTGGTATAGTTATATTGGCGGGGCATGTACAATTCAATTGATCTGAAAAGGCCAGCAGCTATACCAACTGAGCAGAAGTTAACCAACTGAGCTACAGAGAGACCGTTGTCAAGCTCTATGTAATGCTAATGTACGGTGTCTGGGTAAATATCAGGATTTTTGGGCATCCCACTTGATGTATATTCTAATTGTTGAAGGGATTTGTAGAATGATGTGAGTGGAAAGGAGTGGAATTGTTTAAATATACATTTGTTAGACATAACCAGGACTAGTTGCAAGAAATGCAACTATTGGCCATCTGGCAGGAATTGAACCTGCAGCCCAGTGATACTACTTGATTCTATAACTACTAAGTTTCAGGTTACTCAATGAATCGCTCTCAGAAACCTGCGGTCAGTAATGTAGTGGTACGTAGGCCGGTTTTTTATCAAATCTTGCAAAAATTCACTGTTTGATTGGGATAACCCAGTGAGATTAAACTTTATTCTTTAAATAGTATTTATAAGTTGAAGTTACTGTACTTAAGTTTTATAAATTGTGAGGTCCCAATTTTTATTTGCTAATTTGGTGCTGTAGTTTCAAAGCTTTTGAAGCATTGGGTTTACAAATGTTGAAAAAGTTGCTATCCAGCATTTGTAAAGTTTGTACCAGCTCAAGTAATCAATTGATTCATTGCCATGGAGTAACAGTCGCTTACAACTAAAAAATTGAATTATCGCACCCGGCTGCAGTTATGTATTAATTTTCAATTGAAAGCATATTTTATATACTGTATATTACACTGTGTACTACTGTCTAGCTAGTTGATGCCTGAAACTATAAACAAGCTATTAAAATTGGTTTTAATGAATTTATATACTAAAAATGCCGTTCCACCACGGGCGTTTTCTATCTCAATTAACTTTTTGGTCGAATGTTCTCCTCTGAGCTATATAATGGTAGTAGTGTACAGTAGTTAATATAATAATTATATAATTAGACCAGTTTCATTGTGCGTTAATGCGCCTTACTCTATTATTTTACTATGTCAGCTTGTGTCTGATGCTAGACGATTTTACTCGTCAAGGAGAGAGCGCTGCTGGCTCAATGGGTTAACCAGACAACTGTGTCTGCCAATACATTATGTTATTTTGAGGTAGCGCACGCTTGCAGTCATTCACGATAAGCCCAACGTATGTTCCGTTGTAATGCTGTCGACATGTTCCTAGCCAGTGTGCTTATGAGAGGTATTCACCCTCCTGAAAATATTCAAAATGGGAAACGTTCAGGGGGGTGAATGCCTCAATCTTTTAAGCGCACTGGTTAGGAACATGGCGAACTTAACTTCATTTGGTTACGAATCATGGCGTAGCAGCAGAGTCGACCTTTTCTAAGGTTCTATTCTGTGCGACATTTTTGACAAGACGAACGTCACCGGAAGTTAGTCGAACCGTTATGGATGGCGACTTTGACTGCTGTTCTTAATGGTTCGATTGACTTCCGGTTGGCGTACGTTTTTGTCAAAAACGCCGCTTCACGCTTGCTTTTAAGCCCTCTACTGTTTTCATAGCATTTCTCTACTGTGTTCAGCTACTGAACCAGTAGCTTTCATGCAAGAAGCATTCTTTCGTTGTGATCATCAGTGAGTGTACTCCATACAAGTAGCTCCTGTCCACCCTATAGTATGACCTGTCGGTTCATTTGATGAAGTACCAACCTGTGAACGCGTTTCGTTTTCCCATATATATCTTTTGTGCTCTATAATTTGGCTTTCTAAGTTACGTCCTGTTTCACCAAAGTATATGACGGCGGGACGTACATTCGTTGCGAGTCGCCTTAAATATACTGTAGCTTCGCTCTTATCCGAGATTTCAGTTTTGTTTGATATTTAAC